AAAAGCCTAAATTAATGGCCATGTTAAAAGCTTTATTTTGGTCTAAAACTATTTTTAAGGAGGAATTTTCTTAACAAGGAACAACAAAAATACGCTGCATTAATTTTTTTCCCTTTCTTGTAATAAGGTAGTCAAGGTGTTCAATTGCCATTTCTGCTAGCTATTAAAAGCATTTTGGTAGGCTTTTGTCTTGCTTCTGCTTATTCTCATAGTGGATTTGTAAGGTTGTTCTTCTGGCATCCAATTTACCAAATTATGTAAGATAACTCGATGTTTAATACAGAATCATGACTTTATTGCTGGAGCAGGAGGGAATGCTGGATTAATGGGAAAGTGACCATCTCCAAACCAGTCTTTTCAGTTGACTGTACTAGGAGAGGAACGGGGAAGGAGCAAGGGGAGGAGGAGCTACCTCCTATTTGGTTTTTCATTTTCCTAATTTATGACCACACCTGTGTAAAACTCCCTTTCTAAACCTGCAGTAGAAACCGAACTGAGAGTGAGGACACATCCACAAAGATTTTTTAGGTTTTAAAGAGACTGGTACTGTCAGTGGAAGCTGAGTTAGCGACCAGATATTTTAAAATGAGATCTTTTAGGCTGAGGGAAGATTTTGTTGTGCCCCACTGCCTAAAGGGAAGGTACAGAGGATGGAACCGGCATCGTTCTCAGAGACAAATGGCAGAAGCTGGAACACTGGCAGTTCCAGTTAGGACCTGTAATTCCTTACGTCAAGCAATGAAGCAAGAACAAAAGGAAAATGATGCTGGAATACATATTCATGTATGAAAATTGCATCTGTAATATTTTTCTAAAAAATGTAATTTAAAAATTGAAAATCAAAAGGAGGTATGTGCTGAGATGTGGAAGCTCCTACTGGTGATTACATCCCCCACCCTATAAACACTTCTGCTTTACGGACACCTGTGTCCATCACATAAAAACATATTATCCTGGATAGAACCTCACCTGAGAGCCATACATGGAAAAACCCCTAGATTCTTAAATTTCTCCGCCCTCTGCCCCGAAAACATAAAAAGCAACTAGTTTTAGTGTCAATCCCATCATTAGCTTTGAATTATTTGCTACATTTAGTGTCAGAAATTAATCAAAGTCACCAGTTTATGGATTTAATTTTAATTGTGACCTTTCTAGTAATCATTCCATCATTAATAATTAAAATGTAAGATGAATAATCTTAATTATGTGATTGTTTAGATACACAGTTCCTTTGTGTTTAAGTCAACAAAAATCCACAGAAGTTGCAGGGCTGCTATTCAAAGGGACCTTGATAGGATATAGAAATGGGCTGACAGGGACATCAAAGGGTTTGACAGAGATTAAGTCCTGCTTTTGGGATGGAATAACCAGTACAGGCTGGGAGACAACTGGCTGGAAAGCCGTTGTCCACCAGGACCCTTGGGTCCTTCTCTGGAAAACAGGTTCAACACGAGTCAGCAGGGCACTCCTGCGGCAAAGGCCAACCCCATACTGGGCTGTATTAGCAAGAGTGTAGCCAGCAGGTCAAGGAAGTGATATTTTTTTTTTTTTCCTCCTCTCTACTCAGCACTTAACCAGATTGCATCTGAAGTTCTGTGGCCAGTTTTGGTCTCCTCGGCACAAAGCACTGACATACAGGAGCAAGTCCAGTGGACTGCCAGCATGGTCTGGGACACGTCATACAAGGAGAGGCCAAAGGAACACAGGCATCTCATTGTCTACAGCTACCTAATAGGAGGGTGTAGAGGAGACTTCTCAGAGGTGCACAGTGGAAGGATGAGAAGTGAAAGGCACAAGTTGCAAAGAGTCCTTATATTCAACTTGATAGAAGGAAAACCTGTTTTAGTTTGGCGTTTGGTTTTTGTTTGGCGTTTTTGGTTTGGTTGGGGTTTTTTTGTTGGTTTTTTTTTTTGTTTTTTTTTTTGTTTTTTTTTTTACACTATGAGGGTGTTCAAACACTGGAACAGACTGCCCAGAGCAACTCTGGAATCTCCATGCTTGGAGAGATTAAAAACTAGGCTAGAGAAGGTCTGAGTAACTGACCTCTGTGGTCTTGCTTTGAGTAGGAGAGTGATCTAGATGACCTATGAAGGTCCCTTCCAACCTAGGTGATTCTCTGATTCTAAGAAAAGTTTTTTATTCTTTCCAACTGTGACACAAGCATGAACTTTCAGGGTTCAGATGACTTCTAATATGGAAACCATAAACCAGTTTTTTCTGAGCTAAACTCACTGAACAACTTTTGGTAATTATTACTGTCAAACTTGATTTTAACTGCATATTAATCTTTCTAAATGAGATACCAAACAAAGAATGGAAAAATCTCTAAGAAAATCTGTTGAGGAAAAAAGTCCATTCTTAATAGGTAAATTGTTATGCAGCTTTTTTTCCAGCCCCCAAATTTTTCACGGGGATCGGAAGCAAGAGATTCACCATTATAAAAGGGTATTCTTATGTCATTAAAGATACGACAAAACAATGAATTAGAAAAAAATTCACAAAACATACAAAAAGGCAGTTCTTGTAAGGCTTCCAGACCAGAGAGGCTTGGATAAGTCTTTGAGCCAAACCTCTGAACAGTTTGAGGTTTGTCCTTTCCTCTTTAATACTATGGCCTGAAGGCACAAAAAGTTAGTAGATCATTGTGATACCTTCAGAGAAGAGCAGTAGTAAGTTATGAAAGCACATTCACTTGTTATTCTCAACGATTCAATAAAAAAAAGAAAACAAAACACAATTAAAACCATAGAGCCCCAAAGAATTCCAGCTTCTTAGAACTTCTCTGGCCACTGAATTTCTGAGCAAAGTAATTAAGATTTAGTTAGTATAACACAAGAAGGTACATACAAAATAAGCAATCTGTGAAAAGGGAAAAAGACTACAGTGCAAAGGACTTCCTGCTAACACACAGACATGCACACTGGCATCCTTCAGATTCTGCTTCCTAGGCTTTGCAGTCTTATGACTTGCTATATTATGTCTCTCATCGCTATTCCCCTTAGTGGCTGTCTCAATTCCTTTGTTTCTGTGAGCTTTTACAGCAGTGTCTACGAATTTGTCTAGAATCATGACTTCAGGAGCAGCCTGACAGGCACTCAAAGAACTAGAGTTTATTTCACCATCATTTTGCTGCCAGGGAACGTGCTGCGAAGAATGCAGCAACACTGCACATGTATGTTACGTGTGGCTTAGCTTGAAACACCGGGTCCTCTGTGAATGGCACCCTCTATACTAAAATACATTTCTCCCATTATCATTACCAAATACCCGTGTAAATAAATGTACAATTTGTTTTCTTTATTTACTAAGTCTTTTTTACAGAGTCTTGAGATGGAACTCATCTGGATGCAAAAGAATCTCAGGAAATACAGATAGCCTTTAAAATACTGTAGAATAAATTTTGTCAAAACTAATTTATAGCAATGTCCTTAAATTCCATGGGAAAACAAAGTAGCTTATTAAATCTTGATGTAGGTGTCTTGACTTCAGTGGATTAACCTGACCCAAGCAAAATGGAACTTCATGGTCTGTATTTTAAGCTTTAGATAAAACTCACTGGACAGACAAAAGGCTTCTAACTTAATCTCCAATATTTCTTTTTTCCTGTGCATGTACAATTTGTGAAAATGGAAGACGCAGCCGATACTACAATGCTAAGAGTACAATAGGATGAGAGCACTGGGTAGCAGAAATTCCTGTTCTGGCATCACATTCAGGCATTTAAAAAAATAAGTTTGATGTGAAAAATGTATTTGTTTGATCTTAATACTGTTTACATAACAAATTAGCAAAAGATACAATTTTTTTCCATTCTTTTACAATATTTATTCACCAATTCTGTTTTCATCCCTCCATCCTCTTTTCCAAAACCCACACAAAGTCTGAAATACAAGATTATTTAACTAGATAATTCATACTGGGTATATACAATTATATATCACTCTCTTTATCCTGCAGTGATGCCTATCTACCAGAATGACTAAGCCTTTGTCTCTCAAAGTTCTGGTATCCGCAGCGGCAGGGGAGTTAAAAATCAGCACAAGAGAGAAAGGTCTGATGGTGTGCCAATGTACAATGGAAGAGAATTCAATAACAAGCTGCAGAGACAGTGGGCTTTTATCAGACACATTCAAAAGTGGTGGTGGCTACACGTCAATGCTGGACCAGAGTGTGTTACTGCAGAGTGTGACTGAGTGTTTTCCCCACAGGCAATACACTATTATTGACTCCCCCCATTAACATGTAGGGTGGATATACATTTATTGAAGGTTCTAATGGAAGGCTGAGGGACTCCTATCCTGAGGCCAGAGCAGAAAGACAGCCTATCACTTCATGTAATGGTAGCCCATGTGTGACAGACCTGACCTACATTTCCCCCCTTTCTTTCTCACAACAGCCTGTCACTGTTTTAAGAAGCTATTTTCTGAGAGGTATAAAAAGAAACGCATGCTAGAGCTGCCTAGTTAATGTGTTATATTGGAATATTATTTATAAACCTGCTTAAAAAAGACTAGTTTAGACTACAGATTAATCACGAAAGTTACCATAACACACACAACCAAAAAGAATGTGTCTTAATGATTCTGAAGTGCTTATAAACCTATACACATTGAACACTAGGTATAAATGGATTAATACCTGTATCTAAGATACTGCAACAAAATGTAGTATAACACTTATATTTAAGAACACTTAATGAAGCTGCCTTAATAAAATTGAAAGGGCTAAGGTTTGTAATTAGTATAAATTTCATATTTGTTCAAATTATTAGGAATAACGCCACCTAATGTTTTGTTGGAAGTAATTCAATGTTTTCACTAGCTAATGTATGTGTAGCAAAAGCTATAAATAATGGATCCACATTTGAAAGTAGGACAAGAGTGAAAGAAACATTTGGTTCAGCAATAAACAGCATTTTAAAATACCATCTAACTACCACTCCCAGACCCTGCTTATTTAAAGAGCTGCTGCCACTACAGCACTCCTTGGCAGGAACCTACCACGCTGCTGCAGGTCATACTCTTTTTTTGTCTCTTCATTCCCTAGAATTTTCCACGCTTGATCAATTTCGATGAACCTCTGCACGCGCTCCTCCACTTCTCCTGCTGGCACATCTGCCTTCTGTTTGTCTGGATGATACTGCCAATCAAAAAAAAAAATTAAAAAAAGTTGAGGGGAGTGGAAGTGAGGAGGGTGGCAGAGGAGCAATCAATAATGCATTTGATATTCAGTTAAAAGGACAGAGAAAAGGAGAAGGTCTGAGCTAAGGTGCCAAAGGAAGGGAGACAACAACGCTGGGCACAAGAGAAAACTGCCAATTTAATTAGACCACTGAAATGGCAACAAAACCACCAGTGGCACAAATGTCACCATGCGCACTGACAGCATTTTCTGGATAATTTGCTGATGGAATCATTGGTCTTATGGACAATTTACCTAGAGAGAATGACTACCACAAACAGAAATAGGTACATGCAGAGGACCACAACACGGAACAAGAGGAGGTGCTGGAGGTGCTAGCAGCTCTCATAATATTACACATAGCTGATTTAAACGACACCACCAATGTTTAGTTAAGGCTATTACAGGTAAATAATGCTGTATTATGTGTACCTAGCTTTTTTTTTAATTATTTAAATGGTAAATAGAATATACATCATCAAATATAATTTATAATACATGTAATTCTACTTTTGAAAACATGCCTCAACATCTTTAATTTCTTCCAGTTCAGTGAATCAATAGCCCTTCCAAATATTTAAAGTCATGGATGACTGGCTACAAAATTGTGTCATTTTAGTTAAGAAATGGTTATTCAAGGACATGGCTGCAAGAAATCCCATGTTAAATAGGCAATAATAATTGAAATGGCAACATGTTTTCTTTACCACTTTACTACAGGTTCTGAACAGAGTATTCTGACTTCTTTTTGGTTCGAATGTCTACTGAAAAGGAACCCTCAAAGCTCCAACTTCCTGTAGCTTTAATTCATCTCCAATAATCTCTTTTTTTGATATTTTAAATTGCTCAGTATAAGTGATGGACCAACATGAAACAGCATTTAAGATGAGAAACTTGCAATATAATCAGACCTATCCACTGTTAACTGTGTTATACATAAAGCTATCCCTTATTCTGGAGCTTTAACTTCCGCCCTTTATACTAACGTCAGTTGGGGCACTGATACGTACAGCAGATTTTAAGACTTAGAACACGTGTTCTACAAGCGTTTGAGCCGAGTTCTGATTAACTGAATCCCTTTGGTTTTAGTTTATAATTAATTTTGGAAAGGAAAGAAAAGAATACTAATATTATGTGTGCTTTATAAAATAAAAAATTTAAAGGGACTACTTCTACTGGAGTCTGTTTGCTCACTGATGTATGTAGCTGCCATTTGCACTGATGGGTATTACCCAGATAAATCCCCTGTACGACAACAAGAGAATGTACATAAAAGCAAAATACTAAGCTTTGACCTCAAGTTTTTTCACAGGTATTTTTCCATATGCAGATGAATGTACCTGCAACCTCAAGTATGAAGTCTGTACACAAACGTGTATTTTTGCTCCACCATATCAGTAAGCACACTTGAATTCATCTCTGCATTCAAGACTGAGGACTAGCTTGCAACTTGCAGAAAATATGGCTGAAGCACAGCGGCGATCCGTAAAGGTTTCTCTCAGAGATTCCTTTTTTAACTCCCCAACTGGAGATGACAAAATTCTAAGGCACAAACAAATAAAAAATTTTTGGTCATTGCATTTAGTCACTGTATTCTAAATAGCTAATTAGATAATGAATAATTATATCTTTATTTGGTAGGCACTAAATTCAGTGTTCTGTCAGCATTCATCATGTTGTACTGTAATAACTATTTAAATGTATTGTTTGTTTTCAAATCCATTTTTCTGAAAACCTTAGCTTTTCCAGTTGTATTTCAATCTTAATAGGATTTTAATCTTGGTGGTTGATTGCATACAATGTTTGTGAAAGGTCATTTAAAAAAAAAAAAAAATCAATGCTTAATAAGCACACAAGGCAAAATAGTCTTTAACACATTAAAAACTTATATGGTTTTCTTTTAGCAATGTTATTTTAACAATTATGTTTGAGGTATGCATCCAGCAGTTACTCCTCAAAGCAATATTTTATCTAAAAAATGATACTTCATTATTGTAAAATATTTCAGATGCTATATTTAAAATTTGGACCCACCCCAAATATTGTCAGGTTAATTATAATACCTAAAAAGAGAGTTCCATGACTGCTGTATATTTCACTCCATTTGGATGATACTGTAAGCATTCTCCTACAAGCTTACACCCCAAAGGATGTAAAGGCCTATCCAAGGAATATTGTACCAGACGTAGTACCACCGAAACTTACCTACATTTGAATGGCACTGCCAGAAAACTGTTGCTCTTATTGTTGTATGTTTGGATTGGCCACAAGACCACACCTTCTCAGATCAGTTTCTTACAGATACATGAAAACATTACTGACCAATTGCCCAAAACAGCACTAAGAATACCAGCTTCTCTCCTGCCAAGAATGTTGAGAAAACACCCCCAACAAAATTGGTCACACTTTTCCTTTGCTATACCAAAACTTTGCCTGACTGAAAAATAATTTTGGACTATAGTGGAAGTAGTCAATGAAAAACAGTAATCCATCAATGCAGAAAAGGCGATTCTGTTCATTTCTTGAATAATGGAGAAAAATCATTATTCTTCAGATCTATCATTTAGCTTTTAACTTCTTTCTTATAGATTTGGAAAATTTAATATTTGTAGCATATGCAATTTTTATATTCAAAAGACTACAATTTCACATAACTAACAACTACATTGTAGGGGATCTACTAATTAAAATCTCTCTCTCTCCCCCCCCATTCATTTTGGTCTCCATGCTTTCTGAAACTATTTGCTCCTTTCTCTACACTAAGAAAAATCCTCAAACCTCTGCTCTTTTACTCTAATCCTCTTCCACCCGCCCCCCCCGTGATCCCATTTCATCTGAATTCGTTATGTGCCTGTTCTCATTGACTCCCTTTTCCTACTCTCCAGCTAGTTGATCAAAATCCAAGAATGCTTGTCTGTAGCAAAAATCCACCCTTGATTCAACTGCCCATACCCTTCTCTTTCATCTCTGAGACAACAAACGAGGTATCCTCTCTCCAGCTGTTTTAGACCCTGTTCAGCCAGCTCAGACACCAACCACAGAGGACACCTTACCAAAGTTTCAACCAACCTACTAGTTGGTAGGTTTAACTGAAGTTTAAAGAGAGTAATGTCCTCCATCAATACTTCAGACATTAATCAACCATACTCTTTTTTTGGTATCTTCCTTCATTCTTGGTTACCATATTCTTCCTTCTGATTCTCCTCCCTCTCCAGCTGTCCTCGTTTCAGCTGGGATAGAGTTAATTTCCTTCCTAGTAGCTGGTACAGTGCTGTGTTTTGGGTTTAGGATGAGAACAATGTTGATAACACACCGATGTTTTAATTGTTGCTAAGTAGTGCTTACACTAAGTCAAGGACTTCTTAGCTTCCCATGCTTTGCCAGATGCACAAGAAGCTGGGAGGGGGCACAGCCAGGACAGCTGACCCAAACTGGCCAAAGGGACATTCCATACCATGTGACGTCATGCTCAGTATATAAACTGGGGGGAGTTGGCCGGGGGGCAGTGATCGCTGCTCGGGGACTGGCTGGGCATCGGTCGGCGGGTGGTGAGCAGTTGCATCACTTATTTTTCCTGGGTTTTGTTCCTCTCTTTCTCTCTCTTGTTGTTTTCCTTTTCATTACAATTTATTATCATTATTTTTATTTTAATTATTAAACTGTTGTTATCTCAACCCACGAGTTTTCTTACTTTTGCTCTTCTGATTCTCTCTCCCATCCCATCAGGGGCGGGAGGCGGGGGCAGGGTGAGCAAGCAGCTGTGTGGTGCTCGGTTGCCGGCTGGGGTTAAACCACAACACCAGCATACCCTTCAGAGGAGCTGCCTCAACAGAGCCAGGGGGTTTGGTTTTGTTTTGAGGGAGGTGAAACATGATGTACGTTTCTGATCTCCTCCTCTTTTCCCATTCAGCCTTATTTCTGGGTTAATCTCAGCTGCAACCATGTACAAGCTCTGTAATGAAAACAGACAAGCCTGTTTTCTACTCGACCTATCTCCTTCTACTCAAACTGAACTATTGTTCATCTCTTCCTCTATGCATCCAGTTATAAGTTCTTACTCAAAATGTTAAGAGCCTCCCAATGTCTCCTGCAATATCACTTCTCAAAATCTGTGCAAATTATCTTCATATCATTCATACCTGGCACCTGAGCACTACTTTCAGCTGTATTACTGCACTTAGGATATATAAATCTTTCTGGCTGCATATGTGTAACATTTTTAAGAAGCAGTACTTCCATAAAAATAGCTTTTCGTTGAGCACTCATCTTGATTTTTAAACACAGTAGTAATTTTTACTAACGTGTTACTACTTAACAGGACTTTTATAAAAACAATAAAGGATATCTTCCCAAGTCTGACAGAGGGAGGGGAAAAGGAAGGTTAGAGATGTATGCTCACTCGAGTTTTCCTTTTTTATACCTCTACTGTAAGTAATTTGCTAACTTCTTTCCATTACTAAAGATTGTCTGGAATTTGTATCACTTTACAGCATATGATGCTTTGTAGTTGCTGTGAATGTTAAAAAATAAACTGATTGATAATGGAAATATATTAGTTCATGTTAACTACAAAAAATACCTTACACATACATACCATACTGCTCGCTCCCCTGATGTTTATCTTAAACATCGTATTGTCATAGTATTTCTTGAGGACTCTGGCTCTTGGTTTAAGGGTTGTTTTTTTTTTAGGGTTTTTGTTTGGTTTACTTTTTACAATCACTAAGAAAAATTTGAAAAAGCACAAACCTTGAAGTCCAAAGCTCAAATGAAAAACACACTTTAAACATTATCTGTTGGAGACTCAGTGAAATTTTTAGTGTTTCAGGGAAACAGAAAAGCCGGCTAATACAAACTTAACCTCATGCCCTTTTCAATTACAGTATCGTTACTATACCTTTCTAAAACAACTGTATTGAACTGTCTTATTTTTAATATACATCAGACTGTACTTTACC